CAGGTGCCGAGCCCTTTTTTTTTTTTTTTGAGATAGTCTTTCACTATGTCTCTCTCGGTAGAGTGCTCTGGTGTCACAGCTCCTAGCAATCTCAAACTCTTGGGCTCACGTGATTCTCATGCTTCAGCCTCACAAGTAGCTGGGACTACAGGTACCCGCCACAACGCCTGGCTATTTTTGGGTTGCAGTTGTTGTTGTTTAGCAGGTCTGGGCTGAGCTTGAACCCAGCCTTGGTGCATGTGGCTGACACCCTACTCACTGAGCTATAAGCATTGAGCCATGATGTCCTTTTTCATGATAATTTCCAGACTAGAACAAAATTCCATTAATTAGTATTTTTCTTAACTCTCATCCTTGTTCATGTAATTGCCAAATATCAGATAGTCAAAAGGTTAAAATAAAGGATAAAAGAGTACAACAAAGGAACCTGATGGTTCGTAAACTGAATTAATTCAGGAATGGCATTTCTGAAAGGTAGATTTGTACCTGGTTCCAGATGAGAAAAGACGGTAGCAATTTCATCTTTTTGTTTGAGATAGAGTCTTACTTGGTCACCTTAATAGAGTGCTGTGCCATCTCAGTTCACAGCAACCTCAAACTCCTGGGCTTAAGTGATTCTCTTGCCTCAGCCTCTCAAGTAGCTGAGACTACAGGTGCCTGCCACAACACCTGGCTATTTTTTGGTTGCAACCGTCATTGTTGTTTGGCGGGCCCAGGTTGGATTTGAACCCGCCAGCTCAGGTGTATGTGGCTGGTGCCTTAGCCGCTTGAGCCACAGGCGCCAAGCCAGGTTTTAGTTTTTTTTTGGAAACTCAACTATTACTGCATGTTTGTCTTAGGATGGTAAATTATAGTATTAGCCTTTGGAGGTCTCTAAAGTATGCTTTATTCTAGGGAGTAATTGATTCGGAAAGAATGGATTTTGAGCTGTTGCCAGATGATGAACGTCAGTGTATAAAATGCAAAACTACGTGCTTCATGTCTGCCATCTCCTGTTCTTGCAAACCTGGCCTGCTTGTTTGCCTGCATCATGTAAAAGAATTGTGTTCCTGTCCTCCTTATAAATATAAATTGCGGTGAGTTAGGAAAATGATTCTTTAATACAAAAGCACCAAATCATTACCAAAAGCTTAGTGACACCCAAGTTCCAGGGCTGAAATGTTAAATATAAAACATCCATTTTTCTCCAGTGCTGCATATCTCAGAGCTAATTCTAGTATTCTGTTTTCAGGTATAGATACACTCTGGATGATCTCTACCCTATGATGAATGCGTTGAAGCTTCGAGCAGAGTCTTACAATGAATGGGCCTTGAATGTGAATGAAGCTTTGGAGGCAAAGATAAACAAGAAGAAAAGTACGTGGGTGCAGGAAATGACTTGGCAAGTTGGGGCTGATTGATGTAACCAACTTAAAGTCATCAACAAAACATTACTTTAAATAACCTTCCCTTATCCTTGCTTAGCACCTCTGGATAGCCAGGTTTATAGATCTTTTGCAGAGAAGGTAAAAGTGAAGTCTTGGGTCATAGTTTATTTAACAATAACTGTATTATTAGGAAACCTATATATCTCTTTGTCTCAGAAACAAAAATTTCACATTTCATACAAAACTGTAGGAAAACTATTTTTTGAAACAGATTTTGTGACAAGGGCAGCCTAGTGAGGTAAAATTACATTGTAAAATGTTTATCCCTTCTTAGTTCTAATCAAAATTAAGGTCCCTGGCAGTAGTCCTTACCTTTAAAAGTCGCTGTTTCTTTTCTTTGTATCAAAGTGTTTTTACTTGCTTTCCTTTCTGTAGCCCAGCAGGTAACTCCACACCCTTGCATTTAGGCAAGGGTATCCAGTTTTCTTTCTGCCACACATTGAAAGAAGAGTTGTCTGTCTTGGGCTGTACATTATATATACATAAACACTAGTGAAAGCTGATCAGCAAAAGCAAAAATGCTTTTTGTGATACCTGACACCATAGATAAGCAAAAAAGTCCTCACAAAATCAGCATTTGGCCTGCATGTTGGACACCCCTGATAGAAGGAAGGGAACAATATCACTGTCCCTGAATAACTAGTGTGCTCTAGAAACTGAGCACGCCAGTTATTTGCCTACTGCAGAAGACAATTCAGGAGGAAATAGTTTAAGCCCAATAAAATCTGTATTTGCTTTGCTTTCACAATTCACTTGCTTTACATCTAAAAACATGTGAGGTCTTAACATTTCCATGTTTAAATTCAAGTCTAGGCAATAGCTTAAAACACTGGTATGCAGCCACCTCTTCCCCAAATGAACAAATATATTAGTGATCTAAAATACTGTAGAGGCTCAGCACCTGTGGCTCAAGTGGCTAAAGTGCTAGCCACATATACACCTAAGGTGGCGGGTTCGAATCCAGCCCAGGCCCACCAAACAACAATGACGGCTGCAACCAAAAAAAATAGCTAGGCCTTGTGGCGGGCGCCTGTGGTCCCAGCTACTTGGGAGGCTGAGGCAGGAGACTCGCTTGAACCCAGGAGTTGGAGGTTGCTGTGAGCTGTGATGCCACGGCACTCTACCCAGGGGGACAGCTTGAGGCTCTTTCTCAAAAAAAATAAAATAAAATACTGTAAGAATTTTTAATTTACAGTTCTAGATAAGAACTGAATTTCATACCATTAATAATAAACATAGTCTCAGAAAAAATGACTTTCTTAAATTCCTAGGCCTTGTCAACTTTAAGGCTTTAATTGAAGAATCTGAAATGAAGAAATTCCCAGACAATGATCTTTTGAGACATCTTCGCTTAGTCACACAGGATGCAGAGAAATGCGCCTCTGTAGCACAGCAGTTGCTTAATGGCAAAAGGCAAACTAGGTATGTACTTCTGATTACTTGAGTTTGGACTCTTGGCACCTGAACGTGGAAACCTGTTCTGTGACTGGTTCTTCTGTCTTGGAGTTTTACAACATTGGACTCGGTAGTAGTAGACTTTATGTTCTCATATGGCTTCCTTGGACCTTTCTCTTACAGATACCGATCTGGTGGAGGGAAATCCCAAAATCAGTTGACAGTGAATGAGCTCCGACAGTTTGTAACACAGTTGTATGCTCTTCCGTGTGTCCTCAGTCAAACACCATTGCTAAAGGTAACCATAGAGGGATTCGTGGCAGAGTACTCTGGTAATCCTGTGTTTGTAAATCCTGTGATTGTAAATGGATTACCACTATTATTAGTGGTGATGGCTATAAACTTGGCTAACATAGGAAATTGTGATTGCTGTGAGCTAGGCTGAGGCCATGGCACTCAGCCTGGAACAACAGAGTGAGACTCTGTCTCAAAAAAAAAAAGAAAAAATATATATACATGAGTGATATGTGTATATGAAGAGATTATAATAGGCCCACAGAGGAGACATTTTTACTTTGAGAGTGACCCTCAGCTATTTCTTGCAGTTGATATTGGTAAGGTTGCCATTAATTTCTCTGTCAGTTGACTTAAGTATATTGTCTTGTTTACCCATGTTATTACTCAAATCAAGTGGGATGGTAAAGATCACATTGAATGTGAATTTGAGATTGTAAATTTAAAAGAAGCCAATTACTGACATACGGTTTTGATGCGACAACCTGTGTATTTTTCAGGACCTGTTGAATCGTGTAGAAGATTTTCAACAGCATAGCCAGAAACTGCTCTCTGAGGAAATGCCTAGTGCTGCTGAGCTGCAGGACCTACTAGATGTCAGCTTTGAATTCGATGTTGAACTTCCACAGCTTGCTGAGATGCGAGTCCGTCTGGAGCAGGCCCATTGGCTAGAAGAGGTGCAGCAAGCTTGCCTAGAACCCAGCTCCCTTACTTTAGATGATATGAGACGTCTCATAGACCTAGGAGTGGGGCTGGCCCCATATTCAGCAGTGGAGAAAGCTATGGCTCGGCTGCAAGAACTGCTCACAGTGTCAGAGCACTGGGATGACAAAGCTAAGAGTCTCCTTAAAGCCAGGTGAAAAAGCAAACTCACATCTTTTCCTTGGGGATGGTTGGGCATTACAGAGCATAGAGCATAGTGATAGAGCATAAGGCAAGTGTTCGGTAGCTGCAAGTTATGCATAAGGAATAAATGCAGAAATAGATGAGATATTAGGGGTTGTTTAGGACCTGGGTGTAAAAGATTATTTTATGGGTTATGAAATGGACGATTCAAATGGATGTGCCTTTTCTCAAGTTAGTTTAATGTAATTTCTCCAGGCCCCGTTAGTACAGTCTGTGAGAGAAGAAACATTTACAAACAGGTAGAATGTTTAAACTGTTCAAAATGATAATGGTGCAGATAATTTTCATCAGGAGCAGGATTGTACGTTATGCCTTATCTGTATTTGAGAGATTTGAGTGAACTCAGGCTAGCCCTCTGAGAGGGAGAAAAGTCCCTCCCTATTCTTGCTTTCTGTCTGGATCTTCATTGGCCCAGTTTACAACATAAAGTATAAAACAAAAAACTAAGCTATAGATATTGTTTTATAATCCTAAAATGGTTATGGAATAAAGAGGACATAAAATTTTGGCATTGTGTTTTAAGTATGTTGATACCTTAAAGATATTTAATTTTCTAAGTGAAACTGTATGAGTATTGACAGTGTTTCTAGTTTAACATAGAAGCTATTATCAGCAAATTTACCCTCTACAAATGGAAGTTTGTGGTAAATACTGTAAAATCAGGCATCAGTGTAGAATTTAAGTGCTTCACTGAGTCATTTGCTTTTCTATCTTAAATGCTCTTAAATCTTGAAGCCACTTAAAACTATTTAATTTGCTATCTAGTAGTCACTACTGTTGGAAAAAATGTTTTTGCTCCACTGAATTTCCGTTGAAATGATTTCTTTAGTATCTTTGGTGACCATTAAAAATGAAGAATCATATAAAATGCTAAGAAGTTTTAGTGTTTAAATCTTGTAGGCCACGGCATTCGTTGAATAGCCTTGCTACTGCAGTAAAGGAGATCGAGGAGATCCCTGCATATCTGCCCAATGGTGCAGCTCTGAAAGACTCAGTGCAGAGAGCCAGAGACTGGCTTCAGGATGTAGAGGCCCTGCAGGTTGGTTTTAAGAAAAATATATCCTAATGTATCTATAAAAGTAATAACTGAAAAGCTGTAAAGGATAATATATTGGATTTCACTGTACAGATTGAGTATTCTTGAGGTGGGGAGTGACCAGAAGGCTAATTCTGTTCACGGTTGTATAGGATGTCCCAAAGGTTGCCATGCATAGAGAAAATGGGAAGTCATAGGTAAACTACCTTTGTTTATAAAATACTCATTTATAAAATTTTACAAACAAGGAGCCAACATGTAGAAAATATTTTATAAGTAAAGATCTGTGGCTTGGTGCCTGTGGCTCAAGTGGCTAAAGTTCCAGCCATGTACACCCAAGGTGGCAGGTTCGAATCCAGCCCGGGCCTGCCAAACAACGACGGCTGCAACCAAAAAATAGCCAGGTGTTGTGGCGGGGGCCTGTGGTCCCAGCCACTTGGGAGGCTGAGGCAGGAGACTCGCTTGAACCCAGGAGTTGGAGGTTGCTGTGAGCTGTGATGCCACGGCACTCTACCCAGGGGGACAGCTGGAGGCTCCTGTCTCTTAAATAAATAAATAAATAATAAAATGAAAAAAAAAAAAAGATACACGTAACTACAAGTTCCCATTTTCACTATGTATGGCAACTTTTGGGACACTGGTATTTACCAACTATTCTTAGCAGTTGGCTTTAAATATTTGAAGCTCAGACAGTTTAACCAACATTTTCTTTTACATAACACATGAGCATATTTGACTGCAGATTGAAGAGAAAGAGCTAAAATAAAGTGAGAAAAGGGTAGTTTTTACTTTCTTGTTTTTTTTTTTTGAGACGGAGCCTCAAGCTATCCCCCCCTGGGCAGAGTGCCATGGCATCACGCTCACAGCAACCTCCAACTCCTGGGCTCAAGCGAGTCTCCTGCCTCAGCCTCCCAAGTAGCTGGGACCACAGGCGCCCGCCACAACGCCTGGCCATTTTTTGGTTGCTGCCATCATTGTTGTTTGGCGGGTCCGGGCTGGGGATTCGAACCCGCCACCTTAGGTGTATGTGGCTGGCGCCTTAGCCGCTTGAGCCACAGACGCCGAGCCTCTTCTTTTTTTTGAGGCAGAGTTTCACTTTGTCGCCCTTGGTAGAGTGCTATGGCATCATAGCTAACAGCAACCTCTAGCGATTCTCATACCTCCGCCTGCCAAGTAGCTGGGACTACAGGTGCCTGCCACAATGCCTGGCTATTTTTAGAGGCAGGGTCTCTCTCTCTCTCTCTGGCTCCAGCTGGTCTTGAAACTGTGCGCTCAGGCAATCCACCCACCTTGGCCTCCCAGAGTACTAGGATTATAGGTGTAAGCCACCTCGCCCAGCCAGTTTTTACTTTTTGATTTGGTTACTTCTGTTGGTTTATGTAATTTTTTTCTTTTGATTTATATAATTTTATGTAGTGCTAATTGGCCAGCTGCTAATAAAAAATAACCAAACAAGGGCCAGATATGTTGGCTTACATCTGTAATCCCAGCACTCTGGGAGACCGAGCAGGGTGGATCAGCTTGTGGTTAGGCATTCGAGACTAGTCTGAGCAAGAGTGAGACTCTGTATATACTAAAACATAGAAAAAAATTAGTTGGGTGTTGTGGAGGGCACTTGTATGTAGTCCCAGCTACTTAGGAGGCTGAGGCAGGAGAATCACTTGAGCTCCCAGGAGTTTGAGGTTGCTGTCATGAGGCCATTATAGACTCTAGCCCAGGTGACAGAATGAGACCCTCTCTCCAAGAAAACTAAAAAGTAAAGAAAGAATCAGAAGGCAGGGATATGTTTCTGGATAGTCTTATTTCCTTCCTATCTTATACACTTTGCTACTTCCTATGTTATAGTTTCTTAAGGGCAGAAGACAAGTTTTGCCTCATTTCTGAAAAATCACCTAACTTTTATTCTTTTTTTTTTTTTTTTTTGCATCATATATTTAAGAACATGACTAACAACAAGAAATCATTTCACATTTAGTGGATTGTCTATTTTAAAATATCAGGTATTTTCCTTCATATATAGGAAACAGTCCATGTATTTATTTCTAAATTGAATATCGTAAGAATAACATGTAAC